GGGGGGGGGGCATGTTAAAGTTGAAGTAATCTTGGATTCAGGTAAATATGGTAATTGCTGTGTGTGTTCCTAGGATATAGTTTGTTTGATCTCCCCCCCCGCCTTTCTTATTTAGTTTTGTTTCCTCCGATACAATAGGACAGACCCAACCCTCCTTGCCACCCCTTTTCTCCCCCGTTAGCTCTATCTTAGTGGTATATTTTCTGCAAAATGGAGCTTGGAAAGCAGTTTCACAGCCTGACCCTGATTCAACAAAGAACCTGAGTACATACTTAATGATGCTTAGGCTTAACTTTGAGAATGCACTTAAGTATTTTCCTGAATACTCACTGACTAAGTGAAATTTATGCGCATACTTTGCTCAGCTAGGTCATAGTCTGTTCCCACCTTAGAAAAATAGATTATGGTACTTTATCTATTGAGTACTCCTAAGATCTATCAGTTAAAGGGGTTATGTCAGTGTTAAATAATCCAGGGATCTATAATGCTTCAGAAGTCGCACTTGCTCATACATTTTAGCTATTTTTCACAGATATTTAAAGAGTGTTGTGAAACTAAACACATATTTTTAAAAGTCACTGGGCTAGGGGCAGGGAGTGGTTTCGAAAAGAACTTATGAGGAGGGTGAAAGTAACCATGAGAATTGCACACTTGCTATGAGGTTTGTTATACTTCGTTTTTTAAAATGAAAAAATAAAAGTAATACTTTGACATTTAGAATAATGGAGTGATTTATTTAATGGCACAGTCTGATTATCATACCCGTTGACTGCACTGTTCATAGAACATGGTTTAAAACAGGTTCTGAAATTACACTGTGAGAAATTTGTTATTTGATTCTCTAGCAAAATATTATCTAGGTCTGCAGTTGATGTTCCCCTTGACAGGTATGCATCACTGTTATTGATTTTAACAGGTATAAGAAGAATGAGAAGTTCTTTATTGAAGGCAGACAAGGAAATACCTAGCTGGGTTGGTAGTGAAACATAGAAGTAGTTTTTAGGCCTGTGTGAAGTGGCTAGTATTTGCCACGCTGCGTGTGGGGGCTCTGCCAGAAGCCCCCAGGAGTCCCAATGTCCACTGCAGCAGCTGATGAGTGTGGGCCTTTTTTTTTTTTAAAAAGGAGCTGGGGCCAGGCAGGGCAGCCATTGATGGAGCTGGTACATCGGGAGGGGGCTCATGGCAGAGCCCCCCCACGTAGCATGGAGCTGTGGAGAGCAGTGGGGATTGCTCCCCTGCCTGGCAGCAGCCAGTGAATGCAGGGCTTTTTTTTTAAGCACTGGGATGCTGGGGCCGGGGAAGGCAGCCATTGACAGGGCTGGGGGAGTTGTTGAGGCTCAGGGGACGCTCAGAGGGGCTGGGGGGAGAAGACAGGGGATGGGGCCTGATGGGGGTCCCCCACATGGTCCCCTCCCCCCTCCCCCCTACTTACCAGCACGGAGTCCGGGTCCAGTTCCCTGTGGTGGCGAGTAGGGACTGCCTGAATCTCCAAAGCTCTCTAAATCTTTTCTGAATCGTTTTGGATATCTTCGATTTGGACCTTTTTATTGGTCTCCCAATTCGATTTGGATTGGGAGATTCAGCTGCCAAATCAGGCTGCCAAAGCAGGCTGAATCTCCTCCAAATCGGATCAGCACCCAAAGCTTCACACAGCCCTAGTAGTTTTAAAATGCATGTATCACAGCTGCAGGCAAAATGCGGCCCAGGGGCCAAATGTGACCCACCAGGCCATTCTATCTGGCCCATGGGGCCCTGAAAAAATTTAGAAAATTAATATTTATCTGCCCCAGGCTGCCTATCATGCGGCCCTTGATGGCTTGCCAAAACTTACTAAGTGGCCCGCTGCCCAAAATAATTGCCCGCCCCTGATGTATCATCAATTGTCCTACAGGATTTACTCACTTTTATCTATTTTCCTTCTTGCCTCCCATCCTCTTTTTCTTTACATTTGTCAATAAGGACCAGGTTTTTAAGGGTCTTTAGGTGCTAGATTCCCACTGATTTCAGTTACTAGAGCTGTGCAAAGCTTCAGGTGCTGATTCAATTCAGCGGAGATTAAACCCAATTCGGCAGCCAAATCTCTGAATCCAAATAGAATCAGGAGACCAGTAAAAAGGTCCAGCTCAATTCAAAGCTCTCTCTATAGATTTGGAAAAGATTCGGAGAGCTTCAAAGATTTGGGCAGTACCCATTCGCTGCCACAGGGAGCTGGACCCGGACTCTGTGCCGGTAAGTAGGGAATGGGGAGGGGGGTGGGGACCATGGGGGGGACCCCGCCAGGTCCCATCCCCTGTCTGCTCCCCCAGCCCCACTGAGAGCCCCCTGCCCACTCTCCCAGCCTGGTCAATGGCTGCCTCGCCCGGGCCCAGCATCCTGGCACTTAAAAATAAAAAAAACAAAACAAAAAAAGCCCTGCAGTCACTGGGTGCTGCCAGGCAGGGGGACGATCTCCGCTGCCCCCCACTGCCCTGTGCTGTGTGGGGGCTCTGCAACGAGCCCCCATCCCCTGCCCACTCTCCGATTCGGGACAGTCATTTGAATCACCGAATCAAATCACTGTCCCCCGAATCAGCCGAATCTGAAGCAAATACTAGCCGCTTTGCACAAGCCTATCAGTTACTCCTCTCAGCATTGTCATATTGAATGAGATAGTTTGAATGTTTGTAATAGTTGCCCATTAGCCAGTTTAGGAAGAAGACAAGATTTATCTTCTTATCTAGGCCATTGTTTTGGTCTACGTGCGGAAGGTCCTGACTTTGCTCAAAGTCTTAACTTTTGAATTTTATCTTTAGAGGCCTTTAACAAAGAGAACCTAAAAAAGACCCTTAAGCAAATATCCTAAATTCCGAGAGATCAAACCCTAGGGCCTTTGAAAAAATTGGAAAGAAAAGGTCACTTTCAGTGGTATGGAAGTTCCTCAAAGTAATTAAAATGATCAACAAAAGAAACTAATTACTAAGCAAAAGAATCTGTTGAGAAAGATCCGAGCCCAAATTTGGGGGTAGTGACAGGTTTGGGTAGGAGGGGCCCAGGATGGCAACTCACTCAATAAAAACTGTAACCTACTCTTCCAATTTGGAGGTGACTTCACTTGCAGAACGACAAAGGAAGAATCGCAAGTGTAGGCCCAATCAGACTGATCACCTGAACCACCCTTTCCGTGAACACGAATCTCTTAGTTCACGCTGAAGCTGTAGAGCGCCCGAAAGGGACTGAAGGAAGGGGACTTAGTCCTATCACTGCTGAGGCCAGCCCATTGACTCGTATTGCTGAGGCGAGCCCATTGAACTGTACTACTGAGGCCAACCCATTAAATTGTACTACTGAGGAATGAAATCATATTTAGGCATTTGGCTTCTCAGAATTCTAGGATTGTAAGTATATTATGAAAATAATAGTATTGATTCAAATTTAACTTTTAGTTGTAATTGTAGTTGTTTTTGTAATACTAATTCTTATAACATTGTTTGGGAAGGAAGTGCATTTGGAGGATTGTTTCTTAAAGCTAAGCAGTGTTATATGTGTAGCAAAGAATTTTAAAATAAAATTGTGTTGTATGAATTAAGTGTGTAATCATTGTGAAATCGTGCAAGTAGCTAAAAATTTCCCCAGCCATTGCATTAAACGAATCAGTAAATTGTGTGGGATCTTCTCTATTCCATAACCCACTAGAGACAAGCATGCCTAAAAATCTGCCCCCAGGTGTTTTCCAATTGATTTCATTTGTAAGAAGATGGTGCCTATTGCATCCATGGCTTGTCCCTTGTCATCATCAACCACTGTTGCTTGCTGCAGAAAATGAAACCAATTTGGAAGTTAAGTGGCTAAACTATTTCGTGTTACAATCCTAGAATAACGCATTAGAATTGCTACATACTCATCTTGAGTTCTGTTTTAAATTGAAGAACTTTGTTTAAAAAATAACGCTCCTCTTCTTCCCCCAAGAAAATGATCTGCTTACAGTGGAAATCCCAGAGTTGATATTCTCTGTGCAGGCCTGCAGTCCCTTTTTTCCGTGTAATTTACTTATGCACATTCATCAAATGGATGTTTATAGAGTTAGAGAGAGCTTCTAGCCACCTGTTTGTTCTGGAAAGCTATACCGCAATGTTATATCAGTCATAGCCATATTCTTTGGTGTGGTCAGTCAGTTGTGACTCTAGGGCAGATGGTCCTTTCTGAAAGTCCTTTGAAGATCATATTGTTCTTTTTCTCTGTGGGCAGAATAAACAAAATAACATTATAGGAAAAGGTACTTTTGTTCCAGCAGGCACAGAGGTGTCTTGTTATGAGTAAAGATGCAACAAGTAACTGGTTGACTGATCAACCTTGTCAGCATAGGGAGCATCTTTAGCTTACCAAAGATACAGGAACCCAGGAGACTAGTATAATGATACCCAAGGAGGAACAGAGTCTCTTTGGAATTGTGTGTGTGTTGTTTTTAACATGTACTGCAATATCCTCTACGCTAAAAACTTACATGCATATCTCACAGAATTCTTGCAGTTGGAAAAAATCAGTCATCTTGCCAATTGGGAGCAAAACCAGACTTTATCATTTCATAACGGTTCAATAAAGGCTATCTGTATGCTGAGCTGGTCATTACTAGTGTTGGGATAGACCAAGGCATTGAGATTCAGCAGTAGCCAATAGCCATGAGCTGTATTGATCACTGTTCAAGTAATTGAGTAATGGTGCTTAAATTCTTATTCCATTAGTTACAGGACTGAGTAAAACAATCTTACAAGAACTTTCTATACAAAGTTTCTTCTATGTTCAGATGTGGTCTAGAATGTGAATAGGGTATTCCTAGATTATTACACTAGTGAAGAATATGTGAAGACTACATTTCTAGCAAACATGCAGAAACTTCTTGTTGGCTTCAGAGTTTTGGGTGCTTAGAAGCAAGACTGAC